CCAGTGTCTGAAGAAGATCTGAAGAACTAATTTTTTCCTTAAGCCATGATGCCCACACATACCCAGATAATACGAGCTGCCTTTTCCAAGTAGATAAATAAGACTAATGAGAAACTACCCCAAGTATGTTCTTCCTGCCCCATAGACACTATATTCACAAATACAGCAGGACCTTTAGTACTCTCCAGTGAAACTGGAAAATTAGATGCTGCAAATATATGGACTATTTCTGAGACAGTACTTCTTGATACTGAGCTGCCCAGTACTGTTTTCTATTACATCCCTCACAAATCAGGGGCAAAATATTTCTAGATCCTCTAGTGCCGTGCAACAATGGGTCCATTTGAGGGTTTACTCAAAAAAACTGTACATACACGTGTTTTTCCTCCTAATGTTCTAAGCCTTATTATTTTTCACTGAAGCCAAAGTCTCATTTCTCTTCTCATAGCACTGTCTGCCACTTCCAGTACCAGCCTATCACTTCTCAGTTGTTTGCATTTTTGTTCATTAAACTGACCAACATCCCGCTCTAGGGAGTGGCAGCAGATGGTCCTGAGGCCATGCAGCATCCCATGGGACAGTCAAGGCTTCCCAGGGAGGTCATGCAGTCTCCATTCTTGGAGGTTTTAAAAACTAACGTAAAGCCCTGAGAGACCTGGTCTGAAATCACAGCTGAGCTTGCTTTGAGCAAGAGGTTGAACAAAAGACCTCCTGTGGTCCCTTCCAGCCAGTGAGTCTATGATTAAGAGTCAGTCTGGTTTTTAAGAAATTCTGCCCAAATCCCAGGTTGCAAAGGGCAGTCACAGCTGCAAGCTCTCACTATGGAAAGCCATCCCAGTCCTTCTGGAACAGACAGAAAAATTAGGCCAAGTTTGACCAATCCATACTCAATGCAGACCAATTTCACATAGCACAACACGTCAAGTCACTGAAGGATTAAGACTTAATTTTGAAGGGTAACAGCTGTGTAGGAATCCTTCCTTTATTTTCTCTTTCTGAGGGCCCGAGTCTCTAATCTCTCATGCTATCTCTCTCGGAGCAGGGAGTAGCCAACATAGCTGGCTTACGCTGCCAGCTCGCAGGCAGCCTCTGCTCGCCTATCAGAGCCGGTCCCCTGCAAAGCGTGCATTCGGTCTCTGCAGTGTTTGCTCCTGCTGTGTCATTCTGTCCTTCCCCCCTCACTTGGTCTTCCCGTCCCTCTTCCCTGGGTGTCAGGATTACAGTACCAGTGTCCTGTTGCTGGCGTGCCCTTGTCTCAGCCTTCTGACTGATTTTTTTCCTCTGCTCAGCTCTTCTCTTTGCTCCGGTAAGTCTGATGAACAACTTCCTTGCTGTCACTGCTTGGTGGCATGGTGCAAGGGCTTTAGTCTAAGTACTTCCCTTTGAGACTGTTAGTTAGCCCACGTTTTCTAGGAATAGCCTTAAAAGCCTGGGCACCGTGTGGCGTATGAGAAAAACAGGTGAGTATCTGAGGCTGTCGGTGAAAGTAAGTGCTTCTCTAAAGAGTGATCAAAAAAATTTAAGCTGACTTTGGTAGAGCTTGCCGTTAAGTGAGACTAGGGGCCATGGCTGGTTTGCTACAACAATAAGTGATCAAGACTCAGGTGCTGCATGAGAGGTGAGGCAGAGGACTTCAGAAAGTCTCTGCGTCTCTTTCTTTCCATGCCTGATGAAAACCTACCACCAAGTCCCCGAATTTTTGTTCAGTTTTGTACAAGAAAATTGCACATAAATCGTTAAAACTATTCAAATGTAGCAGGTAGTTGATAAAACTGATTTTATCACCATTTTCTGAAGTAATATGTAGAACAGTGTCTAGGCTACAACAAGGCACTTGTATTTTTCTGAAGGGTAATCAGAGCTACAGTAGCATGAGCCATTCCAGAGTTTAACGTTTGCTGCTTTGAGGTGTTACCGTAGTTCAATCTAGTGTTACGTCAAGGTAAAAATTCCGATTTTTATCAGCATATGCTGGCTGGTGTAAGTATATGGAATGCTTTGATTTAAAGAATTGTGCGTGCGCATGTGAATTTTGAGCGTAAAGTGCTAAATACCATTACCCATTTTAGAAATGCTTAAAATAACCCCTGGCTGCAGAGCAGGTGCCATGTGTCTGCTGGATACATGGGGACGCAAGAGCTAAATATAGAGCAGTTTGTAAACCCTCTAGAAGTTCAAGCTGCAAGAAGGGAAGGAGGAAGACATTCCCATGAGAAGGAGAAGCGCTCTGCTCAAAAAAAAGATAAACAAAACTCTGTGACGGTATGAAAAACAGTCCTCAAACAAAACTAAGAAGAGAACGTTTATTTTGTGCTTTGCTGGTGCCGGGAGGGTGGTGGCAGCTGTGGTGGTTTGAGATGCAGGCTGGCGCCGAGCGGGATGGTGACGGGTCCCATCCCCAGAGCCATGACTGCTGCAGCTCTGCTAAATCACATGCTGGGTCTTGCCAGCTGACCTTTTACTTTGGAGGTACAGGCTGATTTCAAAGCTGGTCCAGGATTTGGGAGGGCAGGAGGAAAAGAGTAAATGAGATCCAACGCTCAGACTCAGTCAGATAACTGGTCAGTCCTCCCCCTCGCCATAAAACAAGATGAGGCCTTGTTGGAAATTCAGGTATCTGGAGGCAACAGTAATGGTAGTAAGAGTCACAAAACTTGAGAGATGGATAGTCTAAAATTGGTCAAGTCTAAAATTCCTTAAGGAACCAAGGTTTTTCTCTTCTGGGACCGGCCACCTAATTTTTAGGCATTACTGTCTCTAAGATAGCGTATAATGTAAACACTTTGGGTCTTGCTGGGATTGGCACCGTAAGTCTTTTATGGCCTGATAAGGAGGAATTCCTGATGTACATCAAGGTTAAACAGGCTGGAGCATGAGGAGGACTGAGGCCAACTGCAGTAAAATCTCCCAGCATCAAAGGCTGTAAGTGGGCTGCTCTCAGCAGATGAGCTTCTAGCTTAGCATTTACAATAATGTTACTGACCTTGAATTAAATCGCAGTCAAATAACTCTAGTTAAAACAAGATCATAAGCTGTAGTCTAACATTCATGCTATCTGGAATTATTTACCTAAATTGCACATGCAGGGTCTAATCTTTCAATGTAAATTAAACTCAATATGAAATCAAATCAGATGGATAAAATTTTACAGTCACTTTGCAGTAGCATAATGACCGTGACACAAGCAGGATGGAAAGAATGGGGTATGTCTGTCTGACAAGGTCCATGGGACCAGGTCCAACCATCTTCCCAAGTCGTTCCTGCTGGTGAGTTGTGTCTGTGGAAGGACTGCAGGGGCATGGATTTGTAGCTAACAGTTTTCAAGCACAACCTGAGCCCCACTCAGAGCTGTCAATTATAGGCCCACAATTAATTGCTTGAGAGATGATAAGTCACAACATTTTGCTATCTTATCTGTAAGCCCAGTCAAATAGCTAGACAATCAAATATTGAAAAAATGCTGCCTTAGCGATGGCCATCACTGCACTTCCAAACATCACTTTGACTGGGGAGAGTTTAATAACAGTGCGTCATATTTTACAGTAAATTACATCTCTTATCATACGCTGCCTTTGGCCAAGTTAGTTTATGACTCTGAAAGCTGTAGAAATTTAGACACCAGACAAGATATACATTATGGCCAACTGAACAGGGAACAAAATGCTTCTTAGTCAGCTCTGTGTTTTCAAAGCAAGTTGTCTTTTAAAAAAATAAGAGAGCAACTACTTCAGATGCTGGAACAGAACCAAGAAAGCAATCATCCTCTCTTCGTTCCTAACTGGCACCACTGTAAAGCAAATCATTAAAGGCAGGAACAAAAATCAGCCTGAAAAAGAGAGAGAAAGGGCTCATGGCTCTAAAGAGTACAGAGTTTGCAGTCAAGCAGAAGCAGGGGTGAGATCCAGCTGTGCACCCCTCACCTCTGCATTACCTGGTGAGGGTAATGCAGCGGTGACAGCAGCTCTGCCGGCACTCTAAGAAGGAAGGAGCCTTCTCTACACTGAGTTTTCAAGCCACATGCAGTCAAAGATGCTGTTTCTGCTGGCTAACACTTTGCAGGAGCTTGGGAGCAGGTGCCTGGGAGGCTCTCGGTGACACCCTCATCGCCAGGTCCTGGGTAAGCCGCAGCAGCCTCTGGAGGAACACAGACAGGTCAGGGGCTCTGGAGCCGCCTGCCTGAGTGTGGTTGCTCAAAGACATGGGAAAATAAAAGCTTTCTGTCACAAATTGTGAACAAATTATGTGAGATTCACCCCAGAAAACACCATGGACTATCAACCTGTGTTACGCCTGGTTGGTTTTACTTTGCTGTGATTTATTCTGTATTTGTACTTTGTCAAACAAGCTGTCAGCAGCATGCAGCACGGACAAGAAAAGAGTGGTTTATCGTTGTTTATCTTATTCTTTGCTGTTATTGTGACCAGTACCAAGCCAGGCCATTCATAGATCAAACACCACGCTGGGCTCTCCAAGAGCACAGCTCAATTTTCAGTGCAGTGGTTTCGTTTAAAATATTCCTTCTTTGTGGTTATTGACTTTAGATGTGCCAACAGGGGAGAAATAGGAAATGAAACTGATGCAGCTCTGAAGTGAAGCTACCCATATCAGTAGGCAGCGTTGCAGGTAAACAGATCAAGAAAAGCAAACATGTGGCAAATAATATGTTCAGGGAGGGAAATGGTATAAATTACTTGGGTGTTATTTTGTGTGTTATTGCTGGCAACAGGAATAAAAGGTTTTGATTTTTAACTATTAGGTTTGGGCAGGCTTTTCCTCTTGGAAAGTATATAGTTAGCTTTTCTCCCTGCAGGCAAATCACTTTGGTTGTTCATTTAAGCGCAACGTATTTATCAAGCCAGAGCTGACAGATGAACTGCCGTACCAAATTCCACACAAAATCACTCACGTGCTGGCCAAGCTTTGGGAATAGTTACAAGACTAATTTCATGTGCTTTTAAATTAACCCTGCGTTTGTTTTGCTGTCAGGTACTGCACCAAGCATGGAGAATGACCAGTCTCCCACCTCATCTGGGCAGGACATCCAGGGGCAGAGCGGGGACAAACCTGCTCCTGGCTCACAGCCTGCTGCTGGAGCCCCTGTGGAGCAGCCGGGTGCCCAGCCTGGAGCAGCCGTATGTGACATCTCAGAGGAGCTGAGCCGGCAGCTGGAGGACATTATTAAAACCTATGGCTCTGCCACGAGCCTGATGGAGAAGGAAAGCGCTGCTACGGGAACAGACAAGGCTGAGAAGGGAGAGACAGGCAGTGTGGAGGATGCAGAGTATGAAGATGCAAACGAAGAGAGTGAGAAAGAGAAGCTGGCTCCTGGGGATGCTTCCAGAGCAAAGGAGCCCAGTGGCAGCAAGGAACAAAAGCTGGAAAAGAAAATCCTGAAAGGTCTAGGCAAGTACTTGCATACTTACACAGCCCTTCTGCAAACAGAAGTAAAACCTCCCTGGTCCTTGCTCTTTCCCATGCTAAGCCTCTGCTGTGGGCAATAGGGACCTCTAGCTGCCACTGAAAATTGCAATGCAAATTTTCTCTAATTGATAATTATTTTCAGCTGTTACACGACAGATACGTGTAGGTTGTATCAGGTACCAGTCTTTTTAAAAAGACAAAAGCTTAGGATTATATCACACAATACTGATGTACTATTGGGCCACCCAAACTAGTTGGCCAAAGCTGTAAGTCAGATGACACACTGCAGAAAGTTGTTTCTTGGACAAAGGAAAACCTGGCTTCTCATTTGTGCCTCAGTAAGATTTTTCTTCCCCTCCTTCCTCAGGTATGACTTCTCACTGGTTGTAATGGTGCTACTGTGTGTCACAGGAATCTGCAGAACAAATTCACTGTCATGCCCAGGTTATTCTTCATCTAACAGACCTCTGGACTCATCACGGGTTATATGAAATAAGCCAATACGCTTCTTCTCCTTAAGCACAGTGCTCAGAAAGCACCTTGGCCATGGCAGGGAGATGAACTAGAAAGAAGTCTCAGTGAGTTTTTGTAAAGTATGGCCTTTCTGCTGGGCAGCCGCTAGAGAGCAATGTAGTTATATCCCAATCCAGCAAACGTGATGTATTTCTCTTCCTACGTTTATCTCCCGCCAGTCTTCAAGCCTCTCCTTTGCGTGAGAACCCAAACCCAACTGCAGAATAAGTCTGTTGAAAAATCACTGCAGGATGTTCTTACAGACAACGGACTAAGCATAGGACAGAGCGGGGATTTTTTTCCCCAAATTCCTTGAATATACAGGAGGAAGAAAGTTCCTCAGTTTCTTTTGCCTTGGCTTTGGTGGAGCTATTGATACCTGTCCAAGATCAGTGAAAACACTACCAAAGCACACTCCTGCTGCTGCACTTGCAAGAATTTTCACTCCAGGATTTATTTTATCTCTCTTCAACTTATTTATACTGGTGCTGTAGAGGGAACATAGTGTGAAATAGTGGATTTTCTCCCAAGCGGTACTCCTGGACTGCACTAAACTTGAAGTAGAAAAAGTCCAGAAAAAAAAGCAGAAAGCAAATTTGCTCTCACGGCCCCGGGAAAGAGGAGCATTTGGAAAAACATAGCCACACACCACAGGGATGGCAGGGACATTTTGTATTTGATGAACAAGTGATGTTCAAGCACCAGCTCATACTCGGGGCTAAAATGAATACCAAGAGGTATCAGAAGAGAAGTAATACATAAATGTGATTTAACTCTGCATGCCCAGATAGTTATTAGACTGCCTCTGGTATCCATATTCTCTCCACCAAGTCAGGGAACTGATTTACACCACTATCACGTAGCCCAGACCTGTCTGGCAGTACCTGCTGCTCTCTGGTTGTTTCCATATACACCGTAGTCTCCATACCTAACAATCTTCCTTATGTCTTCTGTAGGTTGAGCAGCACAGGAGCTGAGTATACCAACTTTGATCAGTTTTTGCCTGCAAAGAGATCCAGTTTCTGAGTCTTCAGAGTCCAGGCCATTTTCCTCCTATTTCAGTCAAATGTGCCATGTATGTGACCAAGTCATGTTGCAGAAACATTAAATGAAAATCAGATTATACAGGACAAAAGCATTTCACAGCCAATGCTTTTGCTAGAGGACAGCACATTACTGAGGTCTGAAATGGAGGAAAATTCAAGCACATTTGTTGTTGTGGAGAGAAGAAAAACCCAGAAATTCATAGCAAAAATCATTCCACTCCTCCCAGAATGCCTCCTTTCTCCCTGATTTTTCACAAATTCATGCATCAAGCAACCAATTTCCTAACAGTACCTCAGCTACAATCTACCTCTACCACCAAATCTCTGCTTCTGTTTTTTTAAGGGAAGGAAGCCACCCTACTGATGCAAAGCTTGAACAAGCTGAATACTCCAGAGGAGAAGCTGGACCTGTTATTTAAGAAGTATGCTGAGCTGGTTAGTACAGCATTGGTTCTTTTCTGTGCAAACTGTCTATACAGGAAGGTATAAAAAACATACGCCATGCACCATGGTCAAACTTCATGTAAAAGTATCAGCTGTCCAGTTAAGTGAATCCCAAAATAATTGTCAGGGTCAAATAATCAATTATGAGTGAGAAGGAGAAAAGAAGTAAAAAGTGAGGAAAACAAGCTGGACTTTGGGTTAAAAAGTTGATAAGGCAGAATATTTGTACTTAAAGGTAAATCTACCAAACTGACCCACACCAGAGACTAGTGTTTAGGCTCCTACCTTCGACTTCTGCAAGGAGTTTTGCATGCCTCTGTATGCAGGTGTTGCTTTAAATTATGTATCAGTGATTTAATCAAAATGAAAATAAAACAAGGATTAATATAAAATGTTAGGAAGCAAAAAATCAGAAAATAGAGAACTGAGACTAATTGGGGAAGCAAAAAATCAGAAAATAGAGAACTGTGGCTAATTGTGAGAGAAACCACAACACATTGAAATGAAGAGTCAAAGCCCCTGCTACCATAATGTCACCTCTGTAACAGTGCCAGTTTGCCATCTACCTGACTCCGTTCTTTCCACACTTAAGATGGGTTATTTTCAGATCAAGTATTTTCTTCTAAGTAGCTGAAGCACTCTATGTCCATAAGCTGTGGAAATCTTACAAATGAAAAAGCTGCAGCATTTTACAGTTTGTGGAGCATTGAAAAATGTGCCAAGCAGAACATTGACTTTGTAATTGGTTCTGTGCACGGATGTGTTCATGTCTCATCATAATGTGAAGTTCAGCTTTCCCTTTTTTCATGTGAAATCCTCTGATTTCATAAATTGGGCTCAGGCAGTTTATGGTTTAGCTCATGCTTAAAGGGACTTCACGCCCACAGATTAACTGAAACAGATCTTCTTCTTCCTCTACAATGTACTCTCCACCGTATTCAAGAATTGTTGGAGCACTGTGTAAAACAGGGGCCATATTGCCAATAACCCATCCAGGAGAAAGGTGCTAAAACAAAAATATTGACCATTCATTCCTGACATCCTGTGCAATGTCACTGGAATAAATCATTTAATACATACAACAAAAAACTTGGTGGGGAAAGCCTTACTCTGCTCACTCAGCATGGCTGAGGGCTGTAGTGTGATTAACAGCTTGTCAGCGGTCAGCTATAGTAGTTATCACTCTCTCTGCTCCCTCTTGTCCATCCTCATCACACATTTTAGGTCACTTTTTGGTTTTGCTGAGTTTTTTCCAGCCAGATCAGCATCCTGGTTGGGTGAATAATGTGGTGACATAAGCACTTGTTGCAGCACAGCTCAGGGGATGGTACAGGAATGTGCTAAAGCTAATATTTCATTAATTATTCTTCAAAATTTATCATTGGCGACCGTTTTGTCATTCCTGTTATCCACTGAAATTCCCTTCTTCAGTGCAAAAGCAACACTGTGTCTTAGACATTCCTGAGAATGTTGAAACATAAGTTTCTAGTGCAAGTCATTTTTATGGAAAAAAAAGAGCAAAAAATGCTTGAAAGACTTCTCATATCACGATTAAGACCTATTTTATTCTAAGCCCCCTATCTCAAGCACAGCTTGAATGAATCATCTAAAATTTGTATAAATCATTATCTGCTCAGCACAGGCTGCGCATGCAAAATGAGAAGCAAAAATAACCTTTTTTATGTTTTTAAAAGGGAAGGGGAAAGGGCCAAAATCAAGCTTGTAAAGGAAAACAAATCTCAGCCTTAATTACAGAGAGGCTATTTTTTCTCTACAATACTAGAAAAAATTATTTCAGCAAGTGCAGCTTGATTAGATGCAGCAGCCCCTATTGTCTACTGGGGTAAAAACACACAATACATATTGAAAGTTGGGCATAAACTGTAAATATACTCCAAGCTCATGATTGCATTGTTTTGTGGTATGCCTAGCTGTGATTTGATGGATAATACACAGAGCTCTGCACTGTAAGCATAAATTACAGAACAACTGCAGAAAGCAGATCTTTGGGCAGAGAAAATGTAAAATATGATGCCTGTCGACTGTCATGTTTGAGCTGCACATCATTCCCCTGCACTCACAGACTTTCCCGGTCATACTGGGGTTAATAATTAATAGTAGTGGTACCTCAAGCTTCAGAGGTGAAATGCTTCTTTGACATGTCTATTATGGTGTTAATTTGCAATGCAGGAAATTTTTTCAAAAGAGCCAGTAATAGGCAGCTGTCAGAAGAAATGACCAGTCTGTGCAGGGACTGCTATTAGCAATTTTCATTGCTGCCCCTCATCCCCCCTCCAAATACATCCTCCTCCCTGCCAGCCCCTCTAGGGAGGGCAGGAGCCACACGCTCACAGGAACAACAGGTTCCCAAGTGAACATCAGGGACCATCCGTCAAATTGAAGAGCCCGAAGGAGGTTTGATTCTGTGCAACTGTTGATGACGGGACCTCCAGAAATGCTACAGATGGATGGGACCCCACGTGCACCCCTGAGCAGGAGGAGCCCAACAAGAGGAGGTGCTCATGTGTCATTTTGTGGGAACTCTTCCCTGAAAAGCATTCTCCTCCATCAGCAGCAAAGCCCTCACACAGATGGCATCCCTGGTCTCCAGCACCTCCTTGTTATTGGTTTTTCCAGCAGGTTCCTGGGTATCTGGGAAGCCACTTCTTTTTCAGGAAGCTGCAAAACAGAATGAGCAACCAGTGCGTTATCTCATGATCTGGAGAAATCTCACTGTGTAAAGCGCTACCGTCTGCTCCAGTTCTGAACATTGAAATAAAAATAAAAAACTCACAGCTGCCCTTCAAATAAATTCAAAGCAAAGAAGGACAGGCTGAAATGATGTGACAGGAGTATTAAAAATTACGTTCACCCACCCACGGTACAGCACACTTGGCACTGTTGCAGCGAGCAGGCTTGGGACTCCCTCCAGGTTGCTCACTCCTCTCCCATTAGTGCTGATAAGTACAAAACATTTCCTAAGAGGTTAAAAAAGTGTGAATACTTTCCCAAAACCAAAAGAGCTCATTTTCTTTCCTTTCTTGTCCTTTTTTGTTTCATTTTGTTCCCTGTTCCCAACCCAGCTTGAAGAACATCGTGCTGAGCAGAAGAAGCTCAAGTACCTGCAGAAGAGGCAGGCCCAGATCACCAAGGAAAAGGACCAGCTGCAGAGTGAGCACAGCCGTGCCATCCTCGCCCGCAGCAAGCTCGAGAGCCTGTGCCGGGAGCTCCAGAGGCACAACAAAAACCTCAAGGTGAGTGGTGACCTTATCAAGGTACCTAACAGTTTGGGGGAAAAAAGGTGCTGATGCCTGCCCATCTTGCTCTAGTGCCAAACCAAAGAGACGTTTGCATCTGCACGTGCAATATGTAATTATGGATATGCTCTAGTCTTGAGGCCCCTTTTACACCAAGACCCCTTTATTCCTCATTTGGAAGCATCCAAGCACTTTTGGACATTGACTTTGCCCACGTTAGCTGTAAGCCCTCCTCATGTTATCAGGGAGCCATTACAGAGAAAACCAGTGGTGCTAACAGCCCAGGTCCCTGAGTCTGCAGATGCGAATACATGTGCATGGCCAGAATAACAGGAACACTAGCTTTGCTCCAGGGCACTCACAGAAGGCTGGCAGGTGTTTTCATGTAATCTGAGCATTTGGGCATTTTCAAGTGATGTGCGAGGGTTAGTCAATCAGGACATTTTCCTCAAGACATCCAGTGTAAATACAGGACAGATGCTGACACCGTGGAAGTAATTTGGATTACGAGCATCAGTTCAAATAGGAAATTTTCAAGGGTGTCAAAAGGCTGGGATCCATATGCCATGTCTGCCTATTGTTTGGTGTATCACACCACTTAAATGTGAAATTTATAATAAGATTACTCTTCTTGAAAAATTTTAGGTTCAGGAAGTATATTTCTGTTGTGATCTTCCTTTTTTTTCTGAGTCCCTGTTAGTGATGGTGGTGTTATTATTATACAAAAAGCCTCTCCTTTGATCTATTCAAAATCCTTCTTTATGGGGATACAGTTATGTACAGAATCACACATACAAATTCTCAGCAGCAAGAATTTCACCCGATATAACCTCTGTTAACTGTAACAGATTTTCATTCATTTCCTCCATCTCGGGTGTGGGCCGTCAGGGTCTTGCTCTGACTTTCATTGTATGTTGGTAAGAATATAGCTGTGAGGGGGAACGGCCACATATAAACTCAAACTGTGCACTAGTAGAAGGACAAAACAGTTTAACAGATAGGTAAGAAAACTAGAAGCAAATCTCTGTGTGCTCAGTTATAGTGGCACAAAACTAGTAGTGTCAGTTAAATTGGTGCCTGTCATTTGTACCAAACCTGCTGCATATTGAGCTAAACCTTGATATTGATGCACACTGATTTACCAGACTGTCTTAGGGCAAAATCTGTCAACAGAAATACAAGCCAATTTTAAAGTGATTTAAGAGTACAGTGTAGAGTGCTTTGCATAGACTTAACTGAGATTTCTAAAACAAACAAATCATATTGGTGGAACAAATCAGTGGAAACTGGGGTATAGAGAAAAACTAATTATGTTCAGAAAACATATTTTGAACGGGTTTTGTTGAATTCCTCACATAATTTCCCAGCTATCATATGCTTATTAATCTCACTACTAGAGAGCATGATTTTTCTTTCTCTTTGCATATAAGTACTTCATTACACATTTAATCTTTACATTTAGGAGAGTCTCTTTCCAGCGTCTTTCCACTTGTTGGACTATTTTACGTAGGAACTAGGTTCCCTAAATAAACCTATCAATTTCAGACTCAGTTCTGATTTTTATCCTGTACCTGTGCCAGGTGAGCCAGGAAAGGTACTCGAGCTGATCCTGTATTAGGAAGAAGTGTTCACATTTTGTCCACATCTTTCTAAGAAGTTTGTGACCTTTTAAGAAACTCAGAATACTAGCTTTCCTTTGATTCCTGTGCTTTCAGTGTAAAAGCAACAAAGTTAAATAAGACAGTTAAGACAAAATACACTTGCAAAATGACAGAGAATTAAATTAGTAAACAAAGGCATTCAATATCTTTATCCAGTTTTGTCTCATTGAGAATTTTAACATAAATCTTGGAATATTTGCCTTTAAGCTTTAGCTCCTGGAGATCTGTGAATCTCCAGAATCTCATCATCTGTTTATTTAAATGAGTGTGATTTTCTTTCACTTATGACTGTACTGAGAGGGCCCAAAACAGGAGAATCCGTCAAATGTTATTTTTAAAATCTCATGCTTAAGTAATTTTTATTTTGATTTTGGCAGGACAGAGAAGCTGACTCATAATTTTTTTAGCACTTGGGATTAGCACTTCTGATTATGTTCCAAAGCATGGAAAATAAAAACTGTAGGAGATTGTGTCATTTCAATAGCAAACCTGACCTGTCCAGATCACGAATCTCCTCTGACTTTCCATGGGGTATATTATATGCTCATCACGTCATGTAAATGTTGTCTTCACTCATCTGGTGTGTGGAATTTCCATTAACTGGAGATCAGTGCAGCCAAGTGGTGATGAATATGCAATGCAGAGCTGTGCTGAAAATCCACAGTGCAGAGCAGAGAAGAAAAATTTCTGGTTAGTATTGGATACTGGCCTCGAAACTTGACTGACTTACAGTCCAGCTATTCAGATGATTTTCTTGTAGTCACACTTCACAGCAGAAAACAGGTGTTCAGTCCTCCCTCCAAGAAAAGCAGAATAAATGTTCGTGAAATAGCAGAATGCATTCCCACTGCCATAGAAAGTCGCTCTGCTAAGACCAACAGCCCCTCATCTCTCTGCATTGCGTTTGTGTTCTGCCAGTTATCTCACAGTTTGGTGGCTACTTAGCACATCTCAGGTCCCTTGTCCTTCCTGCTACCAGGCATTAATCCTGTGGATGAAGAGAATGGTTCTTTTAAAATTAGGAGTCCACACTCATATTGTCTCTGCTGATATGACGTCAGCAGAGCAACAGCCTTCTTGACTTGCCCTGGAGAGGGAGGAGGACCAGAGACAGTCCTACCCTTCTATTTACAAATTATCTCACATTTCAGTGACAAATCCCAAACTGCAAAATATCCTTGTCTTAATTTTACAAGGTTTTACTCAATGCGTTCTTACATTTTATCAATAAAACACAAGAGAGAGAGCAGTATTGCAGTAAGACACAAGAATATGTCTTTGATAGGGTGGATATGGAGCACAAAGATTAAGAATGGGCAGAGGAAAAAGAACAGTAGTTTATGCCTGGGCTTCAGTCTTACACCACTGGAAATCTAAAAAGAATTCACAGTGCTTTATTTTTCTCACTAAAACTGAATACTTAATTTAAACCTACTAAAAGAATAAGCACAGAGTGAAGCAGCTGACAAGGTCAAGAGTGGTTTGCATGTTATGAATTCACCATGATGATGCTGAGAAGTCACCACCTCAAACACCCTCTGCTCTGTTCGTTACAACCAAGAAAGCCAAGAGGTCGACTCCACACAGCTACTTCAGCTGCAACAGCAGTAACACCAAACAGAAGTCAGTCTTCAAGCATCTAATCTGGGGGAAAAATTTAAGGATCTTACTTTATACTATGGGGGTCTTGAAATGGGAAGGACTAAGGAACCTACTGGAAAAAAGGGCATTTTCTCAGGTTATGGGGACAGGTATAAGCAAAGAGTTGGGGCTGTAGCTTTGTGACAATGAAACCTGAACGATGCTGACAATTTGGGATTTGCCAGACTGTGCCTGCCCAGGTGAGGTGGGTGAAAGGGAGCCAGCCCCCCAGACCCGAGCAGAGCTGGCAGGGACTCAGGGCTCTGTGGTGGCTCCATGGGCATCCAGCCCCTTCCCTGGGGGCTGGGATCTCCAGTGCAGATGCAGCCTCAGCCATAGGCTTTTACAGCTAGTAAAGGCTCAGGTTTAAAGCAGACACTTCCAAAGACCCATTGCTATTCCTATGGTATTATCAGCAGCACCTAGAAGACTCTGAGATTGAAACTGGATTACCTCCGGGACCAGGCACCAGCCTCCCATCAGCTGGGTGCTGGCAGCATCACAGCTAGCCCCATGGCACGGAGGCACAGAGAGTTTGTTCCTGCAATGCTTGCAGGTGTCTGCCCAGTGCTGTGTAGCCACACAGTCACCTTTCTGCTCAGCCAGCTCCTCTCACCCACACCCACCCTTAATCTGTAACTGGGATCTCAAGGATTTAACAAATAACTGTGTTGCCTCTGTGCTCTGTGTAACTTTTCTACCTCAGAAGACAGGATGATCAGGAAATAAGATCCTCTGAGTAACACATACACGGGGCTTTTTTCTTTACATGTACATGATTGCTACTCTCAGGAAGTCCCATTTCACCTTGTAACAGAACTGTTCGGTGTGACATACATACAATCCACAATTTTTTTGTTTTATATTCAGCTGGATTTATTGCTCCACAGAGCTTTAAATCACAGCAGTGATGTGTTATAACACCATTTGGTCCACTGAAACAATAAAGTATTTTTGAGGAAGGATGTTTTGAAGCCGTAGAAATAGGATTGCAGACATGCAAGTTCAATTTCTTACTCTGTCTTTGACTTGTGAAGTGAAAGCACCTGGTCACTCTTCTCCCTGCTCAGGGCTGCATATATACAATGGAGAACTAAGGGGCATGAGCAGTTTTTTAAACAGTGTATTAGACATAAAATGGAGTTCTGACTTGATTGAAACTATCTAGGAATTCAAGTTAAATTTGTCAAAGTTTAAAACAAAAATAAAAAGGACAACGTTATTTGTAAATATCCGCTTTCAAAAGAAAAATGTTTAATTCTGGGAATGCTAAAGCAGTTGATTTAAAACACCTTCTGAGTAGCATTCTTAACTCTACTTTGGAACAGCATTTTTGTTTCAATATTGTACTAAAAAGAGTTAAACAAAAATTAACTACAAACAGAACACACCTCAATTTCTGGTCAAGCAAAATATTTCAGACTAACTCAAAATCATTCTCACCAATTAAAAAAAAATAATAATTAGAAAGCTCTCTTTCATCTTGCTGCAAATTTTTCGTGTGTTCAATTTCCAACCCAGGTACTGAACCAGGACCTCCTCAAGTCATTTGCCCAGCTCCATATGAAATTCTTTCTTCATCTTTAGAGTGAGAGTCATTCTGGGTTCACATGTTGTTTTACTCTGTTTGTTCGTGTGCAAACTGCAGAGCACAGCAGGGCTGTGTGATTTCTGTGCACTACCGTATTATTAGCACTAATGGCTCCAATACTTTCCTCCCATCATCCAAGGTGTTGTCATCTCTATCACTCCCCAGTCAGCAAAAGGCCAAATGTCCCCTACCTTGAACAACAGTTTTCCAAGATCAGGCTTGTGTTGTGCATGCTGAGTAGAAATTGGGTCATTTAGTGTTTGTCTTCTTTAAGAGTAGGGCCTGAATCAACACCTTTTATGTCACATTTATGATATCAATTATACCTCATTAGAACCAGCTAAGCAGATTCAAGTATATTTATAGAAAATATCCATATGCAGTGTTATCAAAAATTTCTATGTAAATGACTACACTAGTTTAAACCTTATTAAAGTGTGCCATTTGCATGCTGTGGAGTGGGTTCTGGTAAGATCTGTAACTACAGCAGATATAGCCCTAGCCACTGTATGTCAGGAGTACATTCTCCAGAAGGTCAGACTGCCCCGGAAGCAAATGAGTAGGGAACAAAAAGAGTCCATATTTCTGGATCCAAAGCAATGAATCCAGATTCTTTCTCCATTGTCTTTTATATAAACAAATTCCACTACTTAATAAACTAGTGCGAATATTGGTGTCAGTTAAAAAGTTAGGGAAGGAAAATTGAGAAATTGGGAGGAATTCCACAGAAAGTGATGGATTTCTCTCAAAAATTAAAATCCCAAAGACCATAAAATTGATATGAGGTTTCCTAGCTAAAAGGAGGCATTTTTTAAAGGGTAATTTTTTAATTCATTCAAAAAGAATTTTGGTAGAAGAACTTTTGACTACTTCCACTAAATATCTTCTTCCAAAGCAAAAGCTGTGCTGCAGTATCATGAATCAAGACATGCATGTATGCCCCCTTTTCCAGGCTTGCTTTGATCTGAAACTCTGTTCTACATCCATCTTTATAAATGCAAATTCTTAGTTCCCTAATTTTTTCAAGGCCACTGTGTAATTTGCTTTGTAAATTTAGAATCGTGCCTAATGCTGGAGCAGATGAAAGCAAGAAAATCTCCAAAGAGGAATGCAAACATGTTTAATCATTCAAAGGCAAGCCTTATGCTACTCTGAAACAGTATCTTTCTGGAACCGTTTATGCATCTTACTTACACGACTGCCTTCTCTCTCGGTTAACAACAGGAGGAAACCATTCAGCGGGCAAGGGAGGAAGATGAGAAGAGGAAAGAAATAACTAACCATTTCCAGGGCACACTGAGTGAAATCCAGGCTCAGATCGAGCAGCAAAGCGAGAGGAACATGAAGCTCTGCCAGGAGAACTCAGAGCTGGCAGAGAAGCTGAAAAGCATCATTGACCAGTATGAGCTGAGGGAAGAGGTGAGAGCAACGCCCTGGCTGCCCATGGGGACGGGAAAGCAGAAAGCATTGCAAGTCCTCCCCACTGGCTATCGTTCAGGTGCATGCTTTGCTGTCTGAGCAGGACTATGCATGCAGCCAGCCTGCCGGACTCCGCCTGGCAAACTCTGCAGGCAAGGAGCTGTGTGGGTCAGCAGCCCACAGCACCCATGCAGCAAGGTGTGCCAGCTGCCTGCTAAGCTGCCCCCCCCAGCCCCCTCACAGCACCCCAAATCCCCAGGGACCTCCCCCAGCACCCCTTTCCTGCTTTCCCCTACGCCCTGACCAAGCACGTCCCAGCTCCCATCTTTTTGGCCAGCCTGCTCTGTTGGTCATGCCAAATATACTTTTGTTCCCTCCAGACACAGGTTGCTGAGAAGGCCTCTGATGTAAATGCTTTGATGCTTCCCCAGAAGCAGAAAATTAAGATGACAGATAAAGGAGGCCCTTTGCATTGGAATAGATTCTTCTTTGCAGGCACAATACTCACCATAAGATCTCACAGATAAAAGAGAGATGGGAAATTTTTCTTTCTGTATACATTAGAGTTGGTCAGAAAATTTTGACACAAAAAACCCTCCAGTAAAATCCCAAACTATCACTTGGGGTTTTTTTAATGACAAATGCTAACAAATATCAAAATGAGTCTTTTTATTGTTTCTAAATACATTTACTGTGAGCCTCAGTACAACCAGACAACATTATCATACTGAATAAAACATAAGTAATCTGTCCTTACAATCTGGAATGCCCAGTACAATACACGCATTTCCAAATCTGTTGCATCATGTATGAAGGCTTATGTTGAATGAAGGAAATGTATGGTCCTGCCTTGTGGTTTCTATGAGCAGAAAATGTAAAGCAGAGGGATGTGCTCAGAACATTGGCTCCTGTGAATTTTGTCTAAATGAAGCAAGAGCGAAGAGGGCTCTTGGAAACATTTACCTCTTGAAGGTCACCATGGAGCGAGACATTTTATAGGTCAGAGGAGACCTCTGGTTCATCTGGTCTGATCTCCTCCACATCCCCAGTCATGTACTTTCACCCAGATCCTCCAAGCCCACATTGTGTGTGTGCAGCCAGAGCACAGGGGATGCACAGGGCTTGTATTCACAGAGGATGGATGACCTGTGCCCATGCTCCCAAGTACTGCATGTGCTACATGTCTTTACTCATTTGTCCACACAGGCGCTCAGATCTGCTGGCTGCATAAAAGCTCAAAAAAACCTGTATCCCCCACGTATTTATTATTGTTGAGCAATTATTTGATCTTCAGTTACACTGGATTATACTGATTACTTCATATGTAGCCCATAGAACTGAGAAAGATGTTAACACTTCTTTTTTTTTTCTTTGCTACAGTAAATAAAAACAGGTAATGTAAACAGGTTTCCCTTACTATGCAAATTTGGGTACAGTTTGTTCTTATCAGTGCTGTAGCTTTTTAGCAATTGCAATAGGTTAGGAGTCTTCCTGTTTTGCAATGTTTTTGTCTCATGCGTGCTCCGGTAGATAGCTGTACATGCGTGAGCATGAAGGTCTGTGTACATGATTAAACCTGCACATTCAGCAGAATGTATTTTCTTACAGCACCTTGATAAAATATTTAAGCACAGAGAACTTCAACAGAAACTGGTGGATGCCAAGTTGGAGCAGTCTCAGGAAATGATGAAGGAAGCCGAGGAGCGACATCAGAAAGAAAAGGAATACGTACCTATCCTTCTAATCTATCTTTCATCTAACTTTAGGCCAAAATGAGCCCTGCATGCTGTTTCACTAACATATTGGTTCTTCAGATCCGAGCTGGGATATGAGCTGGATGAGGCTTTGAGCAACCTGGTCTAGGGGAGGGTGTCCCTGCCCATGTCAGGGAGGTTAGAACTAGATGATCTCTAAGGTCCCTTCCAACCCAAACCATTCTGTGATTCTATGATTCTGTGACAGCAGAGATGTTTTTATTGCTACTGTCAATGTTCAATGTAAAGGAAAAGCCTCTGAAAGTCTGCTTTCATTGGCATTTACAGTTTTTGAAGCAAACTGCAGAGCGGCAGGTTAGAGCACAGACTGCTCTAGCTAACTAACTCACCGTTACTACACTGTTGATTCATTGCGATGTTGGGTCAGGTGATGCCATTAGTTTTTCAGACAGCTCTGATATTTGATACTCCATCTCCCCACATGATAAACGAGCACATTTAAACAATCAGAGAGGAGAACAAGATTAAAGTGAGATGGCTGAAGGCTGCTATCCCCCCCCCTCCACCCCCAGGCTCTCAGCCTCTCCAGATGTCTTCCTGCAGGTCCAGTTTTGCCAGTGGATGAGGCCACAGGAGCTGCTTCCTGTGTCAGAGCCTCCCCTTCTCTTTTGCAGAAGTTCCCCTCCCCACATCGGTCTGTCAGTGCCTCTTTCAGGCAGGAAGGTTCTGGGTTCATTCAGCAGCCTCCTCTGATCTGCCTCCCTACCTGGACACTGGAGGAAAAAGAAAAAAAAAAAAAGGGAATGACAGGGCATTGGGTCTGTGGAAAAGTGGCACATACAGCCTTATATCAATGACCTTTCTTGCTGTGCCTTGCAGAACATCTGTTTTGGGGGTGCCTGATGCCTGTGACTGGCCCTGTTTCTAGCCAAACTTTCTCTGTATATTTTATCCAGAACTCATGTGCACAGTTTTGCTATTTTTATTTAATTTAAAGCAGTAGAAGTCATCACCATCTACATTTGGGAGTGGGAGATTTTCTTTGTGGCTTTGCTGTATGTATGACTAGCACCTATAAAATGACAGGTTCGAAAACAAGCTACAAAGCCTTTAAGTAGTGGGTGTATAATGATATGCACCATGTACAAAGAATATTTTTCACACTGTCCAAACTAATGCTTAAAAACCCTGCCTTTGAGGTAGGCTGGTGATGTATGGCCAACATTACCTCCGAGCAACGTAGGCTTAGCTGAAGAACTTAAGTGACTAGCCAAAAGCCATGCAATGAGTCAAGGCACGATGAGCATGTCATGATTCATCACAGGTAGCCCAGGACCCAGAGATCTGGCCTACACTTGTCTCCCACCTCAATCATGTTGCTGAGTGCCTAGTCCCACCCACCCAGCTATTGTGCAGGTGTCTGTGGGAGTAATGTATATATAGGTATGTATGAGACCAAGGTGGTTTTGATGGAGTCCTCTTTTTTAGCTGTATCTCTCTCCAGCTCAGTTATGTGAAAAGTCAGAGCTTTACCACATTTCAGCATCCTGTCATTTGAGGGAAGGACTTTCAGAACTGTATAACAATTTTCTCTATACCATTTTTTCACATCCTTGTGCATGACTTTTGCTGCACAATTTTGAAAATATCTTCAGATTTTTTTTATTATTATTCTTTTATCTATTTGGTTACTCCTTCAAGGCTCACTTTGATGTCTTCCTATGCAGTACTTCCATGTAGAAATCTTTGCCCCTGTACAAAACTTCTTTACCTCAGACAAGGAGAGGTGTCCCCTCCTGCAGCCTCTGTACATCACATCTCCATAGGCGTGTCATCTCGTGCTTGCCCAGTTCACTTACACGTGCAACTAAGAATGTGATTCCCTGTATATATGAGTGATTGTTCATACTGTGTGATGTTCCCAAAAGGTCAGCTTTATCTAAGGATGCAATTTTACTATCATCCCATAACTGGTCAGCACTACTTGGACTTCCTCCCTATACCATACACTTTTAGCACTTGTAATACAAACTTTGATGTGCAATTAATTGCAGTTTAAAGCCTCTGTGGCTTTCAAGTATATGACTGGAAATCATATATTGATCAGATTTCTACATAACTGGAATTTGCAGAGTCTGGCAGCAAAAAAAGGAAGCTTAATTTTCATTAAGCCAGTCCCTAGATCCATGTCATTAAATGGGAATGTATGTTCTTGTGGACTGGCATTTTTAGTTCTGAGCATGATGTGACTGTCTGGGCCTCCAGCAGCTATCACAGCTCTAATAATATAGTATAACATCACCACACTTCACTGAAGTGCAGCTTTGTAAACACCACATGCAATATTTATTAATTTCTTTATACTTCAGCCTCCTTGTTACCACTTTATAGCCTATTAATAAATGTATCGGTTCTCCTGATTCATTTTCTCCCAGGTTGGTGTTTGCAGATGACCTCAGGCTGCATAAGAGCACATACTAATTTGAGCAAGCCTCTCTGTGGCTTGCTTCCATTACAGAAGAGTTTATTAACTCTTGGGTTTTTACTGGCTGCAGAAGTTATGTGGGTCAATAGGAGAGAAGAAGGATTTCATTAACACGCAACTTAAGAAGCAACTTTTCTTGAGAAGCAACATTTCTTTGCCTTCTCTGTCCATCTCTTGTGGCATGGCGGAAGACATGGTGCAGGAGGTTGGACTTTTTCATTATTTCAGGCACACTGGGTACAAAGGTAACCCTGGCTGAGGTTTAAGCAAGACAAATAAAAGCCCAGTTCTTGAAAGTAATGAGCGGCCTAGAGACTGGGTAGCTCTGAAGGTTTTCAAAGCACTTTTCATTAGATCATTCAAACCAGACACCCTATAATTCCTTAAAAAAAAACCCAAAACCCAGAAAAGTAGATCTCAAAGAAATGTGAAACTCAAAAAAAGATTTAATCCAAACTTTAAAAAAAAAATATTTTTGTGTGCGTAAAACATAACCTCCCAAGAAAAGAAATGCATGAACTGAGGCTCATTTAACCCAGGCATACACATACCATGGTTTTTTCCTTGCTATGACACAACCTATTTGAAATTTTAGTCAACAAGATCTAAAGTCAAGACTTTGACTTATCTCCATTGAACCAAACATCAAATTCTCAAAAAAAAAAAAAAACATAAAGAGGCAGGTATAAACTAAACAACATGGTATTCCTTCATACAATGCATACTGTAAAACATTCTTGTATAGGAAATTGTAGATGGTAAAAATTCAGTTAGTCCAAAGCAAAAGGCCAAACTGGTGGAAGAAATATTTTTCTAGAGCTAATATATATACACATATGTGGGCAACAAGTCTAATTCAGATAGTCCTTGTGCCACAAATAGCTAAAGACAGGGAGGGAATTGATTACGTTGCTCAGTCAGCATTGGCAGGGTACATCCTCTGCTCTTTTGCCAGGTGGTATTCAAATAGTTCACTTATTATTTCAAAAAAGATGGTGAGAAAAAAAGTTTTTACTAGGATTAAATACATTTACTGCATGTGGTTCTACTCACCTTTCACCTCCAATATGAGAGTAGGGTCTATTGACTTACACAGTACTTTTATTTTCATTATATTTTCAGAGCCCAAGTGTGCTATTTTAAACAGTAGAATTTAATTCAACAGAAGAAAGTCCTGTGGTAAACTAACTCGTTTAATACTCGTTTAATAAGTGTGGTTAAATACCACACTTTTTAGAGCCCACTGTGCTGCACAATTCATGCCAAGTAGGTTTTTAACTCCTATTCAAATATGCTTTTGCAAACCAAATGCCCTGTCCCATGTCTGTGGATAGCACTAAACACTCTGTCTTGCCTAACTCCTCTAACTACATTCATCTGAAAGATCACTCCTTATCAAGGTAGCAGTGGCAGAAGCATAGATAGCTGGAGGATGAGGATTTCCAACTGATAAACTAGGGACCTAACAATTTTCTCTCTGTTTCCCAAAACACAGCTCCTGAACCAAGCTGCAGAATGGAAGCTCCAGGCCAAAATGTTAAAGGAGCAAGAGACTGTCCTGCAGGCACAGGTGACGTAGGCGAGGTGATTGCATGGTGTGCCTTTGTTTCCCAGTTTTTAACCTATGAAGCACTTCCAGGTAGAGTATCCAAACTACTTTCTATGTATTCCTTCTAGCCTCATTCTACATCCCATAGACTATTGCAAAGGAAACGGGTCATTTTCAAGACAACTGTAAGGTTAATGCCCATACTGCAAATCATACTGTGGCATGTGAGTTGTTTAGTCTGGAGAAGAGAAGGCTCTGGGGAGACCTTATAACAGCCTTTCAATATTTAAAGGGGGGTTAAAATAAAGATGGAGAGAGACTTTGTACCAGTGACTGAATGATTTTAACCTGAAAGAGGGTAAATTTAGATTAGATATAAGGAAGAAAATTTTTACTGTGAGGGTGGTGAGGCACTGGAACAGGTTGCCCAGGGAAGCTGTGGATGCCCCATCCCTGGAGGTGTTCAAGGCCAGGCTGGATGAGGCTCTGAGCAACCTGGGCTAGGGGGAGGTGTCCCTCCTCAAGGCAGGCGGGTTGGACTAGATGATCTCTAAAGGTCCCTTCTGACCCAAACTATTCTATAGTGCTGTGATTTACGAGTGTTTACAATACCTGACCACACAACAATGTGGGTGACTTGGCTTGATTATTCACCATAACTACTCTTCAGGCAGGTTTCTAATCCAGCAAAGTGCTGGAGTACATACAGATCATGAAACATGTTTACCAAACTGGAGGTGATGTGCTGGACTGAGGTGTGAAGGCAGAGTTTTCACTAACTTCATCAGGAATTTTGCCTACTAAGGGCTTATAGAAAGGGGCCTCTAGGATTTCAGTATTCAGTTAGAATTTGAAATGTTCAATAAAATTTAACTACTTGACAAAATTACACTAAGAGTCAGGCTGGATTGAAAGGCAGTAAAACCCAGAAACAGGCAGTATATGCTACACTTTGAGAGCAATGCAATAATTGACCTTAAATATGAGTCAGAACACTAGCTGACATGTTGGATTTTCACATCAAAAAGAGAAAGCATCAGCAGATTTTCCTAGGCTTACAGAAACAGTCATGCAGATTTCTCTTCTTTGGCCTGTCTGTGAGAATGGCCTCCCTCCAGCAGAGTTTGGGGGACACCAGTCTTTGCCCTGCAGCCCCTCTGCAGCTGCCCAGCTCCTCACCCATCAGCAGGCCCCCTCCTTGCTCATGGTTCTGGTAAATTGTTCCAGTGCTCCACTTGTAGATGGTCTAATTCCTACCTGTTCAGCAGTCAAGAAAGGCTAGTGTTAAACTGATAACCTGGAAACATAGTAAGAGGGGTTTAATCCTTTAGGTGTTTTTTCAAAGGCTAAGATAAGCAGGTAGTACGCTGAAGAATATCACGTAAACTGCTGCTGGCATCAGTTTGACAGGTTCTGCAATCAAACCGCAAAAGTCTCCAGCTGAGACCATCCCAACTCCAAACCTGATCCTAATTTTCTCAGAGTGGTTTTAATTAAACTTCTATGTTCAACCAGAAAGAGTTTTGTATGCAGGCAGATCTCTGCAGCCAGTTTAACAAAACTGAAGGTATTAATAAAAGTCAGAATATATTAAGCATGTATTTGAAACTGTAAAATTGCTTTTAGAAAAATCCAGTCAAACAGGTCTGCAAAGGCATTGATAATAAACGTGCCCCTTACAGACTTGTGTAGATGGAAATTAAATGATTCACTTGCTGAAATGAAACATGCAGTTAGGTGTTTTGCTCAAGTGTGAAAGCTCTGTCACTTACACATCAGCCTCCATTTGGAATTACTGGGCTGATGATGATGATGATGGTGTTTATTATTATTATTATTTATTTCCAGCACTGAAGGGCCTCCCTCGTGTACCAGATGCCATTGTGCAAGGTGCTGTGCAAGCATAAAGAGGTCCTTGATGCAAACAGCACAAAACACCAAATAGATATTAACAGAGGAACAACTGTATGGAAATTAGGAGAAGACATTGGCCAACAAGACAAGGAGAAACCATAATATAGTACTCACTGCCTGCTATAGAGAGATACTACTCTGTTTTAGAGGAGGTAACAAATACCTTAGTGCTTCCTTGAGCTGGAAAGAACCAGGGAACATCAGCTTCATGCCAGCCTGTCTCTGGGCAGCACAGCATGCCCAAGAAAGCCAAATCCAACCCTCCAAATGGTGACAGGGATCTGGCACCACCTCAAGGAATACATACAAACTGCAGCAGTGCTTGCCAGAATGCTGCACAGCCTCCCCGGGCACATTGCTTAGGCAGACTTTTCTAGCTTCGTGATTTGAAACAAAGCAAGAAGATGAAAGTCATCCAAGGCCTTTAATGTTCAGTAGCTGGCATAGTGCAACCACCAGGCTATGGCAACCGAGAAGAAGGTAGGAGGGCTGATGGGGCATCCTCACAGCATGGCCATACTGAGATGGCCCCATTTCATAGAATCATAGAATCATTAAGGTTGGAAAAGACCTCAAGGATCATCAAGTCCAACCGTCAACCCAACACCACCTAACTCACTAAACCATGTCCCTAAGCACCACATCTACACGCTTCTTCACCGCCTCCAGGGATGGTGCCTCCACAGCCTCCCGGGGCAGCCTGTTCCAATGCCTGATCACTCTTTCAGTGAAGAAATTTTTTCTAATATCTATCCTAAACCCCCCCTGGTGCAACTTGAGGCCCTTTTCTCCTGTCCTATCACTTGTTACTTTAGAGAAGAGGCCAGCACCCACCTCACTACAACCTCCTTTCAGGTAGATTTTTTCCCAAAGTTTTTTCCCAAAGATTTTTCCCAAGGCCTTGCACTTACAAGTTCTCCCCTGGCAGCAGCACTGCCTCTGCTGCCCACGCTGTCAGGGGAGCTGGATGGGCAGTGAGCAGCAGCAAGGGGGTCCTCATCTCCCTAATTGAGGAGCATGAGTGCACACTCCTGGTGAGAGACAGCTTTCTCAGCCTGTTCCCAGCTGCTTATGAACACATGCATTTATTATTGAAATTTAAATTTCAGAAGCTATTCTTGGTGCTATGGTACTGCCTAGGGCCCCAGCTGAGGTCAGAGATTGCACTGTTCAAACCTGAAAGGTTTTCAACCTAATTAAACAAGAGGTGAAAGCCAGGAGGGAAAAGCAGAGACAGAGAATAGAGGTGCATTTTTTTAGGGCAATGGCTCTGGGCTAGAAGCCCCGGTTTGCTGGCTCCCACCCCGGCTCCCTCACCTGGCTTTGGGATGCTCAGGCATTTCTCCTTAGAGCTATGATGTCTGTTCCAAATGTCCCACTCGGTATCAGCATCCAACTTACGCTGTGGCACTCGGGCTGCTAAAACAAATCCCTCTGCGTTTCTGCTTGTGCATAGGTCACAGTTCTGGCTACAGCCTGGTATAAATACACACATGCAAGTTTCATGTCAGCTGGCTCCGATATTGGCACCAGAGAGCTCTGCACGTTTTTCTAACAAGAGCTGTCAGACTGATGAAATGTCCCGTCACCTAAACACTGCTGGAGATGCTCTGGCACCAGAAAGAAGTGGCTGAGTTGGAGCTGGTCTTCTTTTCCAAAAAGCAGATAACGATGCTTTATCTATATAGCATCCTGCATGACTCTGGAGCTTTGAAAGTGCTTTTCCCACACAGAAAAAAAAGAGAAAAAGCAGAAACCAAGATATTCGTACAGAAAAATTAACCTCATATCTTTAGAACGATCTTTTCAAAAACATACACAAATTCTAGATATAAAAATATGTCTTATCGACAAAATACAGCCACAGATGAACCTTCACATGGCTACCAGGTGTAAACTGATAGCAAAATATGGAGCCCTAGTAGTCTTAAAAGCTGGCACATTGCAACAGATCTTTCTTCTGCACTGCTTCATGAAGGGAAATGAAGCTGGCAGAAGAGGCTGGCAGAAGATTCTTTTCTCTGCCTTCACTGGCCTTGCCCATAGCTGCAGTCCACATGCAGGCTACAAAACACAGCTGGCAAGGTGCTTGCTCAAGCCATGGTGCAGGGATGCAGCTTGAAGTGACCCAGTGCAGAGTCATGGAGGCATTAAACGGAGGGTGGGCTTTGCTCAGTGGAGGGGCTGCCCTGCCTGCCAGATAACACAGGAAGGGAGCAGCTGCGCTCCTCTTCAACAGTGGAGTCCAGTGAAGCACATTAAGTGCTACCTGGTGCAGCTCCTGGCCACAGCCTGAGCCACCGAGTGGGCACTGGAAAGATGGAAACAGTGGCTGCAGTCTGATGTGGGGATGCCTCTCCCCCAGCTCACTCAGATGTCCGAAGCAGCGTAGCTACGGTAACACGTTACCATTTCCCCTCCTGTAGATCATCCTAGGAGTCCTTTCCTGTAGATGTCAGCCACAACTGTACACAGAAAATAAGTATACAGGGCTTGTGAGGAAAGGCGGGGACTGGAAATCTTTGTAGACTTTAATGCTGTCCTCTTGAAGTCTCCATCGAGTTACCAAGAGAAATGTTTGCAGAAGTCCCCACTTCTAGGGAATTCTTTTGCTTCTGGGCGCTCTGTGTAGAGACACCAGAGCTGCAACATTTAGGAGAACAAGGCACCCATAATTCCCAAGTCTTTTAAAAATCACTGGGCTGGGTCTTTCTGTTCTTTCTCAGTTTACCTTTCTGCAAGAGAGGAATTGTAATAGTTTGCAACCTTAAAAAGATGCAGAGAGTTTCAGTTCCCTGATGTTTGTGCTTCCTGGTCTTCAAAGAGAAGCTAATTTCCATGTCCAAACACAATACTTATTTTATTGTGTTCTACCAAAGTAGAAGGTCACTGTCCTGGAGATTCTGAAATTACTGTGGTTTTTTTCCCCCTGTTAATGCAGATCACTCTCTACTCTGAAAGATTTGAAGAATTTCAGAAAACATTGACCAAAAGCAATGAAGTGTTTGCCACTTTCAAACAGGAGATGGAGAAAGTGAGTAGCAGCTCATATCTGAACTCTGTGCTTGACACTCTCCTTTTGGATTTTGGTATTTCTCACTGCAATAATTTTATCTGGGATGGGGCCATTCCGGCTCATTTTGGAGAAAAATCTCATCAACATCCAAATAAGGTTTGGGGCACATGTGGCCAAGACTGACAGCAGCTAAGACTTCAGCACTGCAAGCTGAACATTTCACCCTCCCTTTCAGCTAAAACCAAAATTGCCTGGAAGAATAAACGTAATACCTAAAACCTAATGTGGTGGTTGGGAGATAACAAAATGGGGAGTCTGGAGATGCATTTTTCAGCCCATGTCTCCAGGAGTGCCCAGAACCTCCTGGGAGACTGACACTGGTACAGAAATGTTGACATAGGCTACACATCTTCCCACTGGAGTGTGTGGGCAGAGCTGAAGGCCACCAACACCTTCCCACCATTAAGCCCAAATGACTGTTAACTTGCAGCTGGTGTACTGATTTCCTGCAATGAATGGGAGTCAAAAAATAAATGCAACCACATGTTGTATCCACTTTCATCATAAACAATGTTCTGCTCTGCCACCAGGGCCCAAAATAGCGGTGTCCTGATCCAGGCAACCTCTAATGATCTTTACAGATAGAGCTCAGCCTGCAGAACACCGAAGGGAATTATGGCGCTAGTGGTGTGTGCTGGAGGGAGTATAGAGGTGACTAATGCAGTGGGAACTTCCTTGGCAGTGCTGGGTCAGAAGATACTGCTTTAATGTCCCAGCAATCTAACACTGTGCTCCAGTAAAGAGATACAGAATAATACCACATTTTCTTTGCCTTTTGTTTTTGTGACAGTCTGTACTCTGGGAGTTGGTTATACTTTACACACACAATCAACTGTTCCTACTTCAGGACTGCAGATTGGAGGCTGAAAGTTATATGGCAGCTACTTAAAACTAAATCCATCCCTTAACATAAATTATTACTTAGCACAGCCACTACGGCTGCTGGTAGAAGCATTATGAGTATAGCCAAAGACCTAAATAAAAGGGCTGCCCTAGTTCAGTCTGGAGTGTGGAATTCCTGTTGTGATTCAGCTTTTCCTCCTGCTTCTATAGATGACAAAGAAAATGAAGAAGTTGGAAAAGGATACTGCTACATGGAAATCCAGGTTTGAGAACTGTAACAGAGCATTACTGGACATGATTGAAGAGGTGAGCAGTCTTTTTCTTCTCAGGATGCACCCCTTCCCCCACATAATGCTCTAACTAGGAGATGAGATGGCCTGAAACCACAAAAAAATCAATGAAAAATTTGTTCTTGAATCTAAAGGTCTTTTTTTCAAGCTACCTTGATAATTAGAGGTCTTTAAAGAAAAATATAAAAATCCCAACTGCTGGGGCTGCTAGATTGAGCAGAGACATTCATTAGGTCCATGAGAAATTGAATTATGTAACTGTGAATTTTAAGTGCTCTAAAAATGTGCAATTGTTAATGCTCTCACATAGAAGCAAATTGGCATTAGTTCACTTCATGCTACTTTCTTTCTGCGTAAGAGCATCCACCCAGGGAATTAATGTGTTCTAGCTAATGAACTTTGAATTCACACCTTTCATTAACTTCTGTGTAGGCAAACTCAAAGAAGCAAAAGCAAGTACTGTGGCTCACCATAGTTTTCAACATACTGTCACAGGGGCATTGCAGAGGAAATTCACAAGCGTGTTGGAACTCACTCAAATAAGATAAGAGGCTGCCTGAAGTTTCACCCCAAACTTACACTGAACTTGGAACCTGTCTTTCTGGTTAGCTTTGTAGCTCTGTGCTATTGCTATTTCTATGGGTTTCTGTATCTCTTGTTTCCTCACTGGGTGTAGAAGCAAGGCAATGTTCCAATTCAGGCTGCTCTCACAGAAGCTAGAAGCAAAATAAACAAAAACACAATACAGCTTGTTTTCCCCAAATTTCACACCCGTGCCTACCAGAAGTCCAGGTAGGCTTTTGGATGCTTCTCTGTGTGAACATCCACTATGTTCTTCCATCTTTACAGATCATGGGCAGAAATTCCTGCAAATATTTTTGAATGAAATTGATCTGAATCTGTGTGGAGAATGCTAATTAACTGCAGTTACAGGGGTGAATTTTGTCTTGAAGCTTCAGTACAAAAGACCATAGTTACTGCAGAGCAGTTGGTGAAAGCCAGCTACCTGGCAGAGTTCTGTGAGGGCTGCCTAGATCTCAAATTGTTTCTTAATTGCCAGTTCTACCAATGAACTGCATGTACCCAATCTCAGTCTGCACCTTTGTCTGATGTGTTTGACCACAGAAAGCCATGAGGTCCAAGGAATATGAGTGCTTTGTGCTGAAAATCCAGAGGCTAGAGAACCTTTGCCGGGCTCTGCAGGAAGAGAGAAATGAATTGTACAAAAGAATAAAGCAAGCACAGTTCCCTGAAGAGGTGAATGGAAATGGCATCTTAGAAGAAGAGGAAGAAGATGCTGATACAAGCCCTTCCTCCTCTGAGCAGGCGAGCATTGAGCTGTGCGCCACTGACACCAGTGTGCTGAAGGAGCTGGCTGAAGCTTTCAGGGTGTCCCACAAGGTTGAGGAGTCCCTCCCAAGCAACAGCAGCAATCCAGAGACCTGTGATGCTCAAACATGTAATGCTGTCCCAGTGCCAGAGCTCCCCTCTCCTCTAACCCCATGGCCAGAGGCCGGGAATTGCTGTGAGCAGCCCAGCACCAGCACACCAACACCCACTGAACATGTGCCAGCACCCACTGGGAGCACACCAGCACCCACTGAAAATATGACAACACCCACCGAGAACATGCCAAAGCCCACCAAAAGTGTGCCTGCACTCCCAGAAAGGGTGCCAACACCCTCAGAAAGTGCACCAATACCTCCTGTGAGCGTGGCAGTACCCACTGGGAATATGTCCAAACCCACTGAAAGCATGCCAGCAACCCTCGGAAATGTGCCAACACCCCCACAAAACGTGCCCACTCCCCTTGGGAATATGCCAGTACCCACAAAAAGTTCACCAAAAACTGCAGAATGTGTGGATGACCCAGCAGAGCCATCTGTCCATGGTCAGTCCGCAGAGCAAACAGGGGACACCGACATGGAAGCAGTGGATTGAAGACACCGGTCTGTCCAGGCTCATCTTCTACAAACCACAGCTCTACTTTGTCCTCTAAATTGATACTTTTTTTTTTTTTAAGAAACAAAAAGTGGGTGCTAAAACACACTCACATATCTGTAGGCAAACATAATGCACTTCTCTTGGCTACCACTATCCAGTAATAATGGGTCTACAAATTTTGCTGTCCTTCATCTGCTTGAAGCATAATATTTTCTTAATGACAGGAAAATACAACGAAACTACAGGATCTTTTTTTCCAGGTGTAATGAGTCATCTGATTCAGCAAAATAATTTTAAAGTGTTGAAGTTTCATGTTTCAAAAATCATTGCAATTCACATACATATATTTAAAGACTCATAATTAATGGTATCTATTTGTTATGACATTGCATAAAAGATGGCCTGTTTGGACATGTAGCGATTTTAATAAATGAGGTGAAAGGAATCTGTAACTACAAAGTAAAATAATGAAACCATCGATGTGGTCAGCCATATCTAAGGAGAGATGCAATAAAAAAGGTGAATTTTTGTACAAGTAAACTACCACTCAGCACTGTGGCCTGAACACTCACAAGCTTTTAGCCATACCTTGAATTGCTCTTTTCTGCCTAGTTCTCTAGAAGAGGCTTTGTTTTTAACAGAGCTACAGGGGACGGGAGAAGACCTTTCCCAGATTCTTCATAAAATAAGTGAAAACAACAGCAATTTCCAAATGGATGGCAATTCCTAGGGTAGGGGTCACAACCCTCTTTCAGCATCCACCGCAAACTTGCTAGCTTGTCATACGATTTGGGATCATGAGCCCAACAGAGGGGTTTATGGCTATTTCCAGCCCACAAATGAGGTCAGAAGTTCAGAAGCTGGTTGCAGATGCTGGCTTCTAGGTCAGGAGCAGAAAGTAGAGTGGAGCTACGCTAGAAGGTACCAGGATATATTCTAGAAGATACCCCTGAGATCATGCTTCCAGATCATCCCATCTCTCCGAGTCACAGCCACATGAACCTCTCTACCACAGCTTCCTCCTGGCCTTGCTGCATGTGCTGATGCTTCCAGGAGAAGGGCGAGCACACTTGCCTGTCACCCCCTTCATTGGAGTGGAGCACAGGTAGATACCTGAGAAGCAAATACTTATCAGGAAAGCAGGAATCCCTCTCACAGACACCTTCAGGGGTGGCTACATTCTCATCCCCTCTCTTGTCTCTTCTCGTCTGCCTGCCAGCCCACCACTGCTTAATCATGTAGCCACCTTGTCAGAAACTAGTTGATTTTTGCATCAAGAACAAAGATGAAGAAGAAGGGGAGCAAGACAGGGTACCTACCCAGATTGCTGTGCAGTCTCAAGCAAGGAAAGTAAGCAGGCTTTTTAGAAGGTTTAAAAAGTCCTGTTGCCACATTTCTTGTTTCTCATCCCCTTCCTCTGAATTCAGTCTAGACCTTTTGGAATCTGAGCTGGATGGCTTAAGAATTTTAAAAGGGCAATTAAACAAGATGTCCAGAGGCTGGAAAGGGAAATGTTGCAATCAAACAAACCTATGTGTGAATCCCAAGAAGCCCCTGAAGACAAAGTGACTCATTCACACTGAAGCTGAAATACAGGTGAACCAAGAGAAAAGATGCCACTTTTGGCAGACCATGGGAGACTGTGGTTGCAGAGTCCTGGCACACCACTCTCCAAAAGCGAGGTTTGACTCTTTGCTTGCTGCCAACGTGGTCCGCATCCTGGTTGCGTATGTCTGTGTCTGCACTGCTTGGTCCAGCCATTTCAAGAGCTAACTATTGGAGTATACAGAGCGTGATTTGTAACATTTTGTTTGATATGGCCTTACAAGTAGCTATCATGGCTACAGTTTTCAAATGTGGATGCCTTATGTTAGATACTGTAGTCGACCCGCACAGTTCTTTGTAGTCAGCGCGAGGGGCTCTTTGCAGTCATCGCGCTAAGTTCTTGGACACCATCCAGATGAGCCAATTATGATGAAAGTGTAAGCCATTTATTGTGTGTTGCACACATGGTTTTATACAGAGCTCCTTCAGATTTGGCAGCTACTGATTGGATACAATAATTCAAAATTCTTAATAACAAAATCACTATTGGCTACTTTCAATCCTGGGAACGTAACCTTCAAAGCTATGTCAACACAACCTCTAAAATAACTTAGTTGTGCTAATTAATTTCTCTCGGTTTCTCCTTATCTTTCTCACGTCCTGTATAATTGGATGCTTCTGCACATCTGGTTGCTTTTCTTCTTTCCCAGGATCCTTTATCAACCTTATAATTACGAAGCCTAAAGTTAGTATCATATCTAAAATTCTACTTCAGCACAAAGCACCCCTACAGATACCAAGACCGATGGGATTTATTTCATGTCTTTAATCACCTGAAAGTAGATCATTCAAGTCTTAGTTTCCTTTAGATCCTTTTATAAGAAGTGGAGAAGAATAGGCATTTTCTGAGGACAAGTCATCTCATGGTAAGACTGGCATCCAAGATGGAATAAATTACTTTCTCTCTCTGAAGATGCCATATCTCTTCACTGATTCTAGAGCCAGCCTAAGACAACTAGCTTAAATTTAAAACATCTATTATTAGGTGTCTAAATTAAGCAAGATGAATCCCATCAAACACTCAGATTCAAAGCCCTAAGCAAATGGCCATCTCTGAAAATCAAGCCAGTTGTGTGCCTGTGAAAACGTTAATTTATAACAAATCCTTATCCTAAGATAAAAAGTTATATACACCTGATTTACTTCTTTAGTTTCCATTGACTTAAATCAGTAGAAATCTAGTTTCCATTACAAGTACAAGTTTTGAGTGCTGTTAGGGTGACTTTTAAAATTAATGTAATTTATATAACCATTAATTTTTTTGTCTTTCTTGGTCTTGTTTGATTCTGTTGGCATTTAAGAAATTGCCTGCATGTAACCAACTTCTTTTTCTTCAAGAAGGCTCTTAGAATGCCTTTAATTTTTGAAGTCTTCTAATACATTCAAATACTCAAATACATAATAATAATGATTGACATGGCCTTGCAACTTTAACTTGGTTCCATTTGACATAATAATTAAGGTTGCATCTTTAATGATAGAATTGTTGCCTCATACCTTCCAACTTCAGCAAGCAGGAAGACAAGGATCCTACAGTTAAATCTTCCTACGTAGTCATGATTGATTCTTACAGCATCATCCCCCCTGAATAATTACACAGCCTTCTGGGAAAATCACTCCCACTCTATTCTGCCTTCCTCATTTTCACCCTTTTAATTCTTGCATCTAAAACTGCACTCACATAGTTGCCATTCCCATTACTGTGTGAGTTTCTACCCACATACCTGTTGCTTCTCTTCTTCCAAACCATCTACCAACTGCATTTTATCCCAGCAGTTTTCTCCTCGTTCTCAGTGAGTATGTACAACACCGAAAGCACAGGAGAGCAACCCTCCTGGCTTTTAGTTCCAGGATTTGGCCCCACTGGTTTGCAAGAGGTAGGAGAAAAAAATTG